GACCACATAAATCATCAGAATATATGTATATATATATATATATATATATATATCGAGGAGTCTCATAATATACAAGCTTCCTGGTATCATTGCATGTAACATCCCAAAATTTAAGACCAAAAGTTTCATTTTAATTAAGTTATTATAAAACCAACAGTATAAGAAAACATCCATAATAACATATCATGTCAAAACCAGTATGTCAATAATCAAAGCATGTCATCATAAAACAATATCAGAGTATAACCCCAAAGATCTCATGTGCGGAAAACATAGTGTGATGCGCTACGATCAAACCGACTCCATTCCTTTGAAAATGAAGTACCTGAAACCAAAACTGAAAAATGTAAGCACACAGCTTAGTGAGTTCCCCCATCATACCACATACCATACAAATCATGTACTGCCAGGCATATCTGGGTGCCTGACCTACCCTGTTAGGCATATATGGGTACCCGACCTACCATGTGAAGCATATCTAGGTGCTCAACCTACCCTGCTGAGCATACCAGGGTGCTCAACCTACCCCACTGTCAGGCATACCGGGGTGCCCGACCTACCCCATATCAGGCATATTTGGGTGACCGACCTACCCTCCGGTGTATCTCAACTGGTTACGGGGACTATTTCGCCGCTATCACTACCACATAATAACATAACATAACATAAATATATTGTTAGGCATACTGGGGTGCCCGACCTACCGCTTTGGTCCTTTCAACATGATACGGGGACTATTTCCCCTACTACCACTATCACATAACATCATACCATAGTAGCACATAAAACATAACAGATGGTGGCATACCAGGCAATTATCACAAAGACAATCATCTAACAAACAAATCCTACTATTGGGCCGACATTGTGGGCTTAGACCCGCTTCTACTGGAAGGTAATTCAACTCGCATTGCTGAAGTCCCCGCGGACAAAACTCTAGCTGTTGGATGACAGATTCCCGAACTGGCAATCATCAAAATAACACCCAATCAGTAATTGGGTTCCAATATATATCCATAAGTCCATGTTTGGGGTCAAAGACTACATTACCCCCCACCTTATCTTGATTCCAACTCAAGGCCCAATCCAAAGGCCCAAAAGTCAAACTATGAATCAAAGCCCAACATATGGCCTAATTTTCCAAATTAGGCCCAAGCCTCTACATGGTCTTACCCTAACGCCCAACGATTTATTCTTGTCCAACATTGGTATTCCAATGGTCCAACATCTCATAATCCTTAAGGCCTGGTTATGGCCTATCTATGGCCCACTTTTCCAAATTGGGCCCAAAACCCTTACATGGGCCTTACCCTAAAGCCCATCAAATCATTATAGTCCATATGCTTGTTCTTGGATGGCCCATTATTGGCCTAATCACCAAAGCCCAGTAGAAAGGCCCAACTTAAGGCCCAAGTAAGATTATAGTTTCACAAACAATGAAAATTAGGGTTAAGTGTTTCTCACTTAACCCATTAAGGGCTTAATCCGTTAAGTCTATCAATCTATTGGGTCAATCATGTAGTGTGGCCGACTTAATACAAAATCCCAATCCGGTCATCCTAAAATGCGGGTCCGACAACCCATAACCCATATAATCCAAAATTAGGGTTTTCTAAACCCTGATTATGTTTTCCCACCCATCACATCCTAATTAGGCCAAAAGCTAAGTCTTTAGACCCATTAGGGTTTCATTAGGTCAATTAGGGTTTTCCTAAGTAGGGCACCACCCATTACCATCTTGGGTAATGGTGGTCAACGGCGGCTCACGGCGGCGGCCACCAACTCACGGTGGTGGTTATGGTTCTAGTCCATTTTTGTCCAAGCATCCCAAAAGAAACTAAACGCAAACAAAATCACACCGCCACCCAACACCGAGGCTGGTGGCGGCAGCCACCACCTCATGGTGGTCGTTATGACTTTTCTTTTTATTATTCTAGCACTGATTACAAAATTACAATGCAAAATCCCAAATAAACACAAACACACACTAATACGAACACACACACACACACACACTAATACGTGGTGGTGGCTTCGGTGGTTAGCGATCTCAACAGTGGTGGTGGTGCAGCGCCAAAAGTCAAAGAAGGAGGGTAGCGGCCGGTGATGGGATGACGACTGCACTCTCCTAGGATTAGGGTTTACTGGGGTGACGAGCTTATATACCTTAAGCCCCATATAAGTTTACCCCATAATGACAATGATGGTCCCTCTGCCTCCCTTTTCTTTCAAAATAAATCCATAATTTACCATTTAAACCCTGCCTCCTGAAATCCTTTACAAATTAAGTCGGTATTTTACCAAGCAGCCCCTCCCTCTACAAATCCTTTTAAATTTAGGTCCAAAATTTATTATTTAGCCACTGATTCCATTAATCCTTTCATATTAGGTTCAAATGATACCAAACACCCCCTGTCTTCTAAAAATCTTTACAAAATAAATCCCGAAACTTACACTTTTAACCCCCAACTTCTAAAACTATGACAGTTAACTCCTCGATACCAATCGTTGTTATATAATTATTGATTTTAGGGATACTATTCATTCATTAATTTGTTTATTTATTTATTTAATAAACATGGTGTTACATTTCAGCTTTCCTTGAATCAAGTACAGATCCTCTGCTTCTAGTAGTACGGGTTCATGCTACCTTCAACATCTATCTGTACTTTCCTCAAGGGTCACTCTGAATCCTCCAAGTTACTCCCTTATCCATACATACAACCCTCAATAAGACAAGGCTCCCAACACTAAATCTATTCCTAGGATTTCCTAGGGCAATCACCACACCACTCTCCGCCATCAGCTGGAAAAGGAACACCCTCAAACCCCTCTAACTAGCTCACGAATATAATTATATATCATCGACACCAGATAATTCTTCGAATGAAAAGTCTCACGCTATAACAGTTGGACTCAAACAAGAGTTGTGTAATAGAGTAAAAACCTAACCTTCTAAAATTATTTAGTCACAGTAATATGTAACATAGCATATTCGCTAACTAGTTAGTTGAGGTTAATGAGAATCCTAAAAATCACAAACCAAGTAGCATTCAAGCATTGAGTAATTGGAATCAAGCATAACCTAACATGTCACCCTATCACTAACTGACCAATAGATCCTTAGCCCTAATCTAGCATGCAATTCACATATTCACAGATCAAGCATATCATAAAACATGTATGACTATTTTGGGAAAACTTACTTTGAGCTCGGTCGATTGCATGCACCACACCCCTTTCTTTCGTTAGAAAACTATTTTTATGAAACATTCCTTTTCTAAAAACCTACCACATCCTCAGTTTGAGTTCAGACACACCCGAGAGTATGTCTGAATCTCTCAAACCAAGGCTATGAGACCAATTTGTAACATCTCAAAACTTAAGACCAAAAGTTTTAATTTTTAAAATAATAAACCATCGTTCATACCATGTTCATAATACTATGATAAACTCATAGTGTGATCAAACATCCAAATACATCAGAGTCAAATAAGAAGTAGAGCAATATGGTGTGTGATGCAATCACCCCGAGATATTCCCTTTGGATCCGAAAGTACCTATAACATAAACTAAAAACCGTAAGCACAAAGCTTAGTGAGTTCCCAAAAACACCACATACCATACATATCAAACATATAGTAGACCTCGCTCGGCATCGAGCCCCGCTCAAAATAGATTTGTCAGTAATATGAGATGCCCCCCGCCACATCATATTCATTAGGCCCCACCCGGTATACATACAAACACATAAACACATGCAAGAATCACAAAGATAAATAGCATACAAGATAGTCATCAGGCCACACCTCGCATCGGGTCCCGCCCAGTATACATATAAACACATAAATACGTGTGATAATTATAAAGGTAAGCAACATATACTATACTCATTAGGCCCCGCTTGGTATCGATCCCCACCCGATATACATATCATATATTATAGATGCAAGAGTCACGCAGACAACTAGCATCTTAATCATAATAAACCATGGGTCAACATTGGGGCCTTCAACTCCCCAAACACAACGAGGAAACTCACCTCAATCTTTTGAATCTCTCAAATAAAATCTCGGACGGTTGATACGGAAAAATCCATGCTCTATCACCATCAACTAATATCCAATTTTATAATTGGTCCACAACCCATAACAGAAATCCTAGTCTGATGTCCAACCCTCAGGGTAAATGTTCATTTTACCCTTTCCTCACTTGGCCCAAAATCCAAAGCCCAATCCAATAGCATCAAAAAGCCTAATATAACCTAACTTCCTAATTAGGCCCAAACCTATCATGTCCCTAATTCCAAGATGGTACAAGGCCTAGCAATGGCCTAAAAATCATAAGGCTAATGAACTAAAACCCTTCTAGCCCAAAAGTGGTCCAAACCGAGAAAATCAACCATAGTCAAAGCTGCTGAGTACTGATAGAGTTAAAATGATCGATAGATTCTATATTTAAATGACAAAGTAACAAATGAACTAATGATTTGAAATGATAATGATTGAAGTGAAACATATTTTCAGTCACTCAGCATAAGAACAATTCGTTTACAAGTTTGAAACTATTCTATCTATGTACAGAAAGATTACTGGAAGAGACACAATGCATTATTTATAGACATGAAAGATAATGAATCCGAAAACAGACATGTTCATTTCAGAATTAGAACTTGAAAAAATTCCGAAAACAACTATTTTGACACAACAATAAAAATGACTTAACAATCCCTCCCTTTATGTCAAATCAGAATGATGTACAATTTATTACTTTGGATCTTCAAAAACCTTCTCCATAATCTTCAGAATGTATCCCCGGACAGAAAGATACCAACGGATCATATCATAAACGCATTTGACATCAGCAACAATATTGTATTTGTTTGTTTTGGCCGAAGATAAGATTTTGTTCAGAGCATTTGTAGAGTACAAGTGTTTATCTCTCAGAAGGAACATGCAGTTCTTAATCAACTCTACTTCATTCCTCTTATGGACAATGCTCTAGTGTTTCTTGTTAGACAATCCTCCCTTCAGGTTTTCAATGTTTTGAGGTTGATCAACAAGCGTCAATGTAGGTTTTCTTTTAAGAACAAACATAATTTCCACATCCATCTTCGCCATCTCCAGGATGTAACATTTGATCATCCTTCTCAAGTATTCATAAATTGGCACGAACTTCTTCACATCTTTTGCAGCAATGTACAATAAAGAAATCCAATCATATGGGTTCATAAATGGTAGATCACCCATTGTGAAATCATGAAAAATATGAGTTCGACCCCGAAATCCTTTGAATTGTATATTCAGAAAGTCTTCTGTTTGAACAGGTAGCCCAACCTTCGGATCCATGATTCTGTTTAGACTCCAAGAATTGTATTAAGGTTTAGCATATTTCAGATAAAATGAGAAGAGCTTTTTATTTGTTGTGTTGTTGGAGATTAAGGATTTCTCTATCTTTTCAAAACATCTAAAGAGAAAGGCACTTAGTGTGATCGGAAAATCGAGCTGTCACTCTATTTCATTCTTGATGTCAAAAAAAGTTTTTGGTTCTAACCAAAAAGTCTTTGGCTCATTAATAGCTTCCTTCTACATTCATTCAAGAGTCCAGGCTGGGAATAAGGCTTTCTTATTTTCAAGAATCAATTCAGAATTCATGGCCTTGGCCTCTTCAGCATCTAGTTTTTTCATGAGGACATTGAGTTCATCAAGTTCTTTATCCATCTTCTCTCTTTCAACTTTTTCTTTCTGATTCAACGTTGGATCTTCTTTAGTAACTTTTTCATAAATGACGTTGACATCCCTTTTCCCTAATCCCGAAGAAACATGGTGCTTCCGACCAGTCTTGGCCTCTTTGATATTCTTGTATTTTTCGGCTAAAGTTTGCTTTTTCCAACTTGATCGAATCAGCTTCTTTAGCTTCAATGGGTCCAATATGATACAGATTGTTTATATTTACCTCTTTTTCTCACCCTTGTAGCGAAGTAGCCCTGCTCTTTGTAACATTCTGAATTTCTTTGAGCTTCTAAAATACATGCTTCAGCTTTTCACTGATAATTTGACCAACATAATCAGTAAATGGAGCATATCTAGACTCCACAATACACATCAATCGTTGATTGATTTCGAAGTTACGCCCTTTAAATAAAATCTTTTCTTCCTCAAGTTTGGCAATATCAATCGATGCATTTTTCAATTTTTCTTGAAGAACCTTCGTTTTATGAGTTTGCTCAGCCAATGCATCAATGATCTTTTTTCTCAGTAGCCAAGTCATTTTGTAACTGTAGGATTTGTTCAAAAAAGGAAGTGTGAAGATCAACATTATCTTTTTGAATTATGAATTTGAGGTTAGATAGAGCTTCTTTTTCTTCTTGTAGATAAGTTTGAAAAGCTTCAATGACTTTGTTCATATCAACTGTATTTTTATCAGACGAGGATCGGAAGTCTGACATAAACTCTTGAACTTCCTTTATCAGGTTATTGACCTTTTTGGTGGCTTCTGTAATTTTCTTTTCTGAAGCTTAAGCAGTTTTGTTGTTTGTTCATGAACCTGAGCATTTGTTGATGTTAACATATCCATCGCTGCTCTATGAGTCATCAACAAATTTCCCATTTGGTGGAAGAAAATGCATTTGAGTGTTCTGGAATGGAATCAAGCTTCTTATTCAGTTCCTTGAATTGACCTTTAGTCCTGGGGGAAACATCATTATCACTATCGATATTGACAGTAAATGGGTGGAAGACAAAATCATCAAGAAGTTCTTGATAATCCCTAAACATAATATCAACATCCCTATGCAAAGTTGGTGGAACGGAGGTAGATGGTTTAGAAGACACACCAATATTAGAATTTGGCCCCCACATCAGATGTGTTACTAGGGATGCTGGAAGTCCTAATCTCCTCCAAAATGGATTTGATAATAGAAACTTCTGGTGAAGTTGTAACAATGGTTGTTGTAGGAACTATTGAGTCTGTAAAAATGGGAGTGGAAATGGGATTGAAATTTAGGGTTGAGATGTTTCAATAGAACTCATCATTAGTAGAGAAATAATGGAGGATATCGGAATGAAAGTTGTAATGGGTGAGGCTGACATGGGTAAAGTTGGTGTATTGAATGGAAGTGGAGGTAGAGGAGTGGTTAGATTCAGAAATGGTTCCTTCATGATAGTTTCAAAACTTTTTGATTCCGGATGATACCTTCGGAAATGTTTCAATAGTGTATGGTTTGGAAGTACGAGTTGTATCTTCTACATCATTTTGGAAAATGTTATCCGCTTTAAATTATGTTACAGTTCTTTCTTCGGATTCATCTTGAATCACCAGAGATAGAGACCCTGGTTTCGAAACCGAATTTTTTGATTTCTTTGTAACTTTGATGCTTTCAGAAGGAACAGTCTTGGCTTTCCTTTTACCACCTCATTTCAGTTTATCACCTTCATAAATGATCTTCTATAACTCTGCAGGATGGGACGAACACCAGAAGATGGCAATTTTCGATATGCTCTAATAATGGCATTATCAATTGGAACTCTTTTTAGCAATACTTCCGAAATTGATCCAACAAATTCAAAATTCCTAGGATCTAACATGACAAATGTAGTGGTTTGGAGTGTTGGAATTTTAGCAATAAGAGAATCCTTCATCCGAGGAACCGTTTAGTGAAGAAGGGCTTTGTTGATAACAATAGACCAAAAAAAAAGCACATAAAATTTCAGAATGACAGGTGGATGAATTGGTGCTCTGAAACAATTGAACCCGAATTATATACCCAAATTCTAAGTTGATACCATGGTATAACCCGTAGATCAAGGTATAGAAGAGCTTTCTTGCACTGTCAGAACCTGAAACCCTTTCTGACCGACTTTTGAAGAGTAAAGTAAACAACTCATTCCATATTGGAGGTAATAATGATTTCCTGAACTTTGATAGTAAGGAGATGTCACCAGTGTAGCCCATTTGTAAGAACATCTCGATTAAGCTGGTGGCAGGAATTGATTCAGGATCAACACTAACATCAGGCGTGACAAGAATTAGAAATTTGTAATGGATTTTGTAATCGATGTTTTGTGGCTTGAAACTTCAAAATATATGACTTCTTCAGACTTGTTGTAAATTGAAGTTGAGAAATATTTGGAGAGATGAATGAGAGGACCACCTTCATACATTGTCAGAGCCTTCATCAATGGCGAGAACTTCAAACACTCGATCAAAGGTCTGATTAGGGCATTGTAGTGGGAAGCATCATGGTCAATGATAAGATTATGGTTGGATTTGATGTTTAACATGACCATAGAGGTAGATTGATCAACAAAAGAAACATTCTCTGAGGAAGCCATAGAAATAATGAAGAAGAGAACAATAAGAGAGCTTTGATTTTGCTTGAAGATTCATGAGCAGTGTTTGCGATAAGAGACAATGAACCATTTGAGATGCTTATATCTCAAAGATATTGAGTGGAGAGAGAAACTGTCATTTCATGTTGTCATAGCGTTGAAAAATCAGCCAATAAAAATATGTCGGCTCATCATTCTACTGTTAGTAATCGTTATAACAAACACATAGATGTCACGGAAATTCAAAAGTCGCACCATGATTTAAATTTTTGAATGCCATGACAAAGTCTTTTCGGAATCACCATTTTTGGAATTATCATGTTCGGAATCGTCGATCTACCCTCCATCTTTGCATAAGCTAAAACAGTATCTATTAGAATTACAACCAAGATTCGTGTCTTTAGAAATCAAATAACCAATCGTAATCGAAACCAGATTTTGTAAAATGACAAGGATTTAAGTGCAAGAGTGTGCCAAAGAAAAACATCAAGCAAATACAAAGTGTGGGATTTGTGATATCAAACATTTTTATATGAAAAGCATGTGGATCTTTGGCAACATTCTCTTCCTTCTGAGTCACGAGAGACTCCGAAATGCTTGTGTGGTTTCCCGATGAATTACGATCATCAGTTTGTTGAGAAACTATGAAAGGCTTCTTTTATAAGGCTTAATGGATGGATTCAAATTCAAACAGATCCCGAAACTTAACATAAGTACGAAAATCTGAAAGAAGTACTTGTTTGACCAGTGTAGCCACAAAAACAAGTAAGCTCTGGATATTCTTTGTAGTAACTTGGTGTTTCGGAGAAATGTTCATTCGGAAATCTCATAAAAAATAAAAAACTTGGATCTTATGGGAAGAAATGACTCGGGACAAGAACATCTCATTAAGACCAGTCAAAGGAAATATGAGATTTTGAACATTCAAAGGTACAAACCAAATGGTTTTATCCGTCAATTTATTTGGTAAAATATCTCTAACAATAAATTGTTGATCGTCAATTCAGTGGTTAAAGAAAGAACAAAAAAAATTGTTCATCGTCAATTCAGAAAAGGTAATTGGATTTTGGGTTTCACTCAAAATCATGGTAATAACGATTTCAAGATAATAAACACAGATGTTGTGTAATCTAAACCTCAATGGTAAAACCTGAGAGTCTAGAGGGTTACGATTGTGAACATGAAATAGATGGAGAATATGAGATTAGGAGTCAAATGGTTAAGAGTTTCACGAAAATGAAGTTAGCAATGATTTTGCGATTATTAACAAGAACTTTTGTAGACCTATACCAAAACTGGTTATGTTCCGATAGTCAAGGGAACAACATGAAAGTCGTGATCAGATATGGTAGAAAGAAGTGATGATGTCAACCATCAATTCCTTGTTGCAAACTATAATTCCAGAACGAATTTACCATCAATTTCATGAAAATAAAATATTTTTTAGATTTTGATTTTTCAGAACACTGAAATAAAGAAAAATATTTTTGAGATTTTTGAATTTCTAAAAAAGAAAATACATAAACGAATAGAATATTTTTGGATTTTTTTCTGAAAAGAATAAGACAAAAAATATTTTTGGATTTTTTTCTTTTCTGAAAAGACTTACAAAGATAGTAGATTCTAAAATCTGAATGGACAGTTACTTCATACTTACTCTGAGGATTGGAACAAGTCAGAAGTGAACAGTTGATTCTGACAGCTTCCAAAGATCAGAACCATTCGAAAGTGAATAGTAACATGAACGATTACGTTGTTGATTTTGGAAAAAATTCAGCTTCAATCATTTCCAAACCTTGTAGAATCTGATTGAATGATACTTCTTGTAAATCTTTAGTGAAGATATTAGCTAGCTGATCAGAGGATCGAACAAAGTGAATTTCTACATTCCCATCTTCAACATGGTTCTTGATAAAGTGGTATCGAAGCGCAATATCTTTTGTTATTGAATGTTGCACTGGATTATGACATATTCTAATGACACTTTCAGAATCACAATAGAAAAGAATTGGGTAAATTACACCAATCATCCCTCGTGCATATGTCAGAAAGCGTGTTTAGTCCCTATTTTTAGAAATTAACTCGGATCGTCCCTCGTATGTTTAAAAGTTGCGCATTTGGTCCCTACCGTTAATGGTGATACGTTTCTACAGTTAAACCATAGGAAAATGACATAACTACCCTTATTTTTATAATTATAATTATTGAAAAAATACACACTAATTTAAAACTAACACACCACCCTTATAGCGAAGGCAACAAATCTTGTTCCTGTTTCTCTGCACGATCACGTACCCTAACTCGTTCATTTTAGAATGACATAATAAAATCCAGAAATCACGTAATAAAATCCATAGGAAAAACACCAAATTAACTGGTAATTGGAATCAAACCTAGAAATCACATAATCAAACCCACAACTCAGGAATGAAACCCATTCAGACCGATAAAATCAAACTCAGGAATTATATACCAATTCAAGGATTCAATTACAAAGCATTCAAGGATTCAATTACAAAGCTGAAGTCCATGATTCAAAAAAAAAAATCAAAAACTAGATTCAAAATGCAAATGAAAAAAACAGAAGACTGTCAAAATCAAAATTCTAGCCAAGGTTATGTACCAATGATTTCAATTTCCATTTCTTCATGTTCTTGTTCTTGAAGAAAGTC